CTTTCCCCCTCCTTACTAGCTCATCTCTAATAAAAATGAAAATCACCAAGTCCTTATGCTGGATATTTTCTATATGCCTGTCCAGACCCATTCTCTGATCTCCTGCCTTCCCTGTGCCAGGATGGCTGACTCAAGACTGAATCAGGGGGCTCCCCTGCCCTCTGGCTTCTGACCAGGTAAGAAGAGAAGGATATCGGGATTTATATTACCCCGACTCTCTCCCTGGCAAGCTGCAGCACATTGGATAGCCGTCTCCATAAAGCTTTCTCCCAGGTCCTGGCAGCCCCTTCCCCTCATTCTTCAGACCTAAGGCTGGTGGTAACAGTTCTTCTGTTATTAACTCCAGGGAAATTCAATACTCATGTCGCTTTCCCTCAACCTTAACCTCTCCTTTAGAGAGAGTCCCTTTGGTAAACTCTCTTCAATTACCCAGTATCAGAGCACCATCGATATCCCCTGGAGCCCTCTCTAAATAAAGTTGTAACAATAAAATAATCCATGAAGGTGAATATAGTCCATTTGCTTTCTGTAGTTTTAAATACCCGAAATTCCCTTCAACTATATAGGTCCACATGATAAACTAGAATGTACTTGCCCAATTCACTGACTTTGGAAATTTTTCTAGCCACTCTCTCATGGCTCTCTGTTTGGCTTTTCAACCCATTACACGTTTGAACTTGGCTCTGTCTGGAGATGAATTCTCTGTATTTGTTGATCTTGGCTCTGGGAACTATGTATATTTGGCCTTTGCTTTCTTCCTGGATTAACAACCTGGCATGGCATCAAAGCATAAACTGAGCATAAAATGCTCAGCCCAGGCTACCCCTGACCAGGTATAGAGTTAGTGCATATACCTCAAAAAATGCTGTTAGATAGCTTATAGTAAGAGTGTCTTCCTTCCACGTACTTTCTAACTCCCCAATTCAGCAAACATACATCCCTTCTTCCTGTGTCTCAGACACTGACAATATAAAAATGAAAAAGGCAAGACCTTTACAATATAAAGAGAAAAGAAATACACATGTTGTCTTTTGCAAATGAGAAATATACCATTCCTAGTAGAGAAACCTGTGTATTAAGACACCTCGCAGCTCTCTGATATTAAAGGTCATTTTGATGGAATTTAAAAGAGATTATCTTGCTTGCCTTTAGAACCCAACATTTTTCTAGCATACCTAAGGAGAGAGAGATTTGACCTTCCTCCTATAGTACAACAAACTCGGGTTTCAAACATTTCAGTGGTTAAAAAAAAGTCTAAAACCAAGAATTCAGTAGATACATTCATGTGTTTCATGGAAGACATAAATGTTCCAAAAGTATTTTTCATTCTTTGAATCTAAAATTTCATTTTCTGGGGGTTCCTGGGTGGCTCAGTCAGTTAAGCGTCCGACTTCGGCCCAGGTCACGATCTCACGGTCCGTGAGTTCGAGCCCCACGTCGGGCTCTGTGCTGACGCTCAGAGCCTGGAGCCTGCTTCAGATTCTGTGTCTCCCTCTCTCTCTCTGCTCCTCCCCCGTTCATGCTCTGTCTCCCTCTGTCTCAAAAATAAATAAACATTTAAAAAAAAATTTTCATTTTCTGAATTTTAATTTTCTGAAATCTCATTAATTGGAAATTCTTGCCAAAACAAAACTCTAATAAAAATGAATTTGCAACCATTTACCAAGCTGTATTTCTCTTCTTTGCTCTCATTTTAGGCATACTTAAATCTCAATTACAGTTTTTACTTTGATAGTATCAAGAATATCAAAAGAGAAGACAATGCTATATTTGGACAAAACATTAGTTTATGACACAGTTATATGGAACAAGTGAACATTCCCTTCCATGAGCCAAGCAGAGAAGTTCAAGTATACATCCCAGGAAGTGGTTAGCCCTTCCCAGACAAAATAATCAAATCTTAGAGGAATGCTTATAATCAGACAAGATGGCACATTCTCTCTCCATTGAGCCCTACAAAGCTGCAACTGCCTCAACAAATAATAAAGTGGCCACTGTGAAGGAGCCACCTGCCTTTACTTTCTGGTTCAAAATCACTGGTGCAGAAACAGAAATTTTATTTAGAGTGAAAAACTGCTCATTGGGCCCTCACAGAGTTCCTATACCTGACTACTATAATACCACATATAAGCAACAGTATTATAACCACAAGCACAGGAGCATATATATCTTCAGATAGTATTTACTCGGCTTCTGCACGTAAGCTGGACTGTCCTTGGAGTTGTCTAAATTCCCACCCGCGAGAAGTGCAATCTAAAATAATCGTCATGGGGCACCTGGGTGGCTCAGTTAAGCATCCCACTCTTTTTTTTAATATACGAAATTTATTGTCAAATTGGTTTCCATACAACACCCAGTGCTCATCCCAAAAGATGCCCTCTTCAATGCCCATCACCTACCCTCCCCTCCCTCCCACCCCCCATCAACCCTCAGTTTGTTCTGAGTTTTTAAGAATCTCTTATGCTTTGGCTCTCTCCCACTCTAACCTCTTTTTTTTTTTTTCTTCCCCTCCCCTATGGGTTTCTGTTAAGTTTCTCAGGATCCACATAAGAGTGAAAACATATGGTATCTGTCTTTCTCTGTATGGCTTATTTCACTTAGCATCACACTCTCCAGTTCCATCTACGTTGCTACAAAGGGCCATATTTCATTCAAGCATCCCACTCTTGATTTTGGCTCAGGTCACCATCTCACAAGGCTGCCTGGGATTCTGTCTCTGCCTGTGTCTCTCTGTTCCCTCCACTCATGCTCGTGCACATGCCCTCCTTCTATTTCTCAGAATAAACTTAAAAAAAATAATAATAATCTTGTCGTGAGGAAATGAGTGTGATTAATATAACACACCTAATCTTCCCTTACTTTTGAATTGGTTGATATATAGTTTATTGTAAAACTTTTTGCTCATACAGGCTTGTAATTCATATATCAAAGTCTTTTAAAAAATAATGAAAAGCATGTTTTCAATTTTTCCTACCTTCCTAATCAATCCATATCAAAGTACTGATTCATCTAAGTGATCATGAGGGGGAAAATTTATCTCATCAAGACTAACAGTTAATGCTACATACCAAGGGAGGTAAGTGGTACCTCATGGCAACAGGTCCCTTTCATAACTAAAAACAAAATAAAAACAATCAGGAGTCCTGACCTTTGAAAGACTTCCAATGTGGGCAGATCCTTCCATAAAAAGCCTTTTTCTAAATGAGAGAGAAGTTATTACTTCTAAGTTCTCTCCATTTACTCAACATTTCAAACTATCTTTGGTTTTCCAACAGAGCAATGCTAAGTTTTCCTTATTTGTCTGACTCTAATGGCCAAAACAAAGCCCTCGTTGCCATAGGCCTCTAGGATTTAAACCTACCTAATTGAGAGAATCAACTGCCAATGAGGATATGCAAAGTGCCTTCTTCATGTTCAAGATTTGTGTGGTTATCAGTACTTACTCTGCATCAAGAATTTACACTGATTTATACCATTTCTTGTAAGCACTGAGCTAGCTCGAACACCCAACAAAGTACTGATAGTCAAAAGTATTTTAATAAGTACAAAGTAAGTTCACAGGGCATGGGACGGGTTTAAGAAATATCAAGTGATCATGAACAAGTCACTTCCCTATTTACAAATGAGTTTCCTCTTAAATGAGGGAACTAGAAAAGATAGCCTCTACAAACCCATCCAGTTCCAGCACTTAGTGACTCTGTGCCTCAGGCTCAGCATAGTACGGAAGAAAAAACTACTTTAAGCAAAAGATCAGTCTGTAATATACCTCAGGGAATAAATACAATTCAGTATACAAAGAAATGCTAGAAGTCTCCAAAGGAACCCAGAAAGGGGCAAAATCAGTAAGTCTAGAGAAGTTCTTTAATTGGATAAGGTTTCTTTGAGGATGTACAACCTGAGTTGGATCCTGAAAAATGGGAAAGATGTGGATATGCAGAGAAAAGGTGGGAGAACCTTCTAGATGAAAACAAGAGCATAAATAAACTCAGCAAAGAAAACATGAGCACAAATGTAGGCTCTGTCTCCGGTCTTAAACAACTGGTACAATTTATTCTAAATTGCATTTATGGTACTAGGCTAAACTGCAAATTTAGTTAATTTTTCAGTTTTTTTCTTCCAAGTCTTTCACTGTTGAAAGAAAACTGATAACTTATCGCTTTATATAAAAATACTTTTGGGGCGCCTGGGTGGCGCAGTCGGTTGAGCGTCCGACTTCAGCCAGGTCACGATCTCGCGGTCCGTGAGTTCGAGCCCCGCGTCGGGCTCTGGGCTGATGGCTCGGAGCCTGGAGCCTGTTTCCAATTCTGTGTCTCCCTCTCTCTCTGCCCCTCCCCCATTCATGCTCTGTGTCTCTCTGTCCCAAAAATAAATAAAAAACGTTGAAAAAAAAATTAAAAAAAAAAATACTTTTTTTCTTCATAACATATCTTAATGTGCATGCCATTATTAAAATGTGATGGCTTATTGTTGACCACTTTGATTGAGACCCTACTGTCTTAAGTGCTGGCTGCGTATCCTCCTCCTTCTACCAAGACCAGCAACATTTTTAATGATTAATGATAACCTTACATATCATCTAGAATATGGTATAACCAAAGGAAAGACTTGAAACATATTTTAAACCACTTGAAATCTTCCACTATACATAATGATCTATAACAACAAAATATAAAGGGACATCTCTGAATTATAAAATGAAAGATTCAATTTGAAAATACATATCTTTAATAATATATTTGAAACTTAGAAAAATAAAAGCACATCAGATTAAGAGACACATTTATGCAAGTCTGCTTTACTTATGATTATGAAGAATGGTACCAAAAATATTTGAAGAAATGTAACCTCTAACTCTTGAGCTTGTTAAAAACTATCTTTTGATACTTGAGCATGTTGCTCATAAAATGAGGAAAATTTTCATTTCATTCTTAAACTTTGTATAAATATTATAGAGAACTGTCATTTGTTTCAAGCCAATTGTTTTAAAAATGCACACTTACCCTGCATTGTTGCTGACTGCAGTCAGCCCTTTTACTCCAGTCTTTAGTAAAGCTCCTATAAGGTTCTCTGGAATCCCACATAACCCAAAACCTATAGTAAGTGAAAAAGACAAATGATTTGTGAAGAGGATAATGTTCTTTCAGAGAAATCCACGTGTTACTCTTTTCCCTTAAAGAAAAAAAAAATGCAAAGCACATTATTAGATCTACTAAGTGAAATATAGACATATCTCAGCAACTCAATAAACGGCTACACAGCTGTATCCAAATGTTCTGGACCATTGTGTAGCATCAGACATCACCGTCAAATCTTTGAACCTTAAGAATAAAGACAAATGCAACCTGCTAATATGGTTACACGATGGTTACACATTGCATATCTTATACTTTACTGCATATCTAGAGTTTAGAATTCAACCTTTATGTAGCTACTTATTCAAGCATGTTTGTTTTATATGCCTCAGTAGAGTTTTGCAGAATCAGAAGCCTAGACTAATGACTTTTACTTCTTTGTATCTTCCACAATTTGTCAAATAGTATTAGGTTTAAAATGGACATTCAATGACTGATCAGTTGAATGGATGAATGAATGAAGAGCAGCCCTAAAAATAAGGCTAGCCTACAACCAAGGCCTAGAAATTAAAAAGAAAAAAAAAAAAAATCACAAGAATCAGGCAGCAAGTTTAATGAGTGTGAGACCGTGGTTCTAAAAGACATTCCAAGCAAGGTGAAGCAATAGAACTCAGAGGCCTCAATAATAGATAGGTGCATTTATGCTTTCTATCTCCTAAAATGAGGAATAACCAAAGGAGTGGCTAGCTAAGGCATGACGAGATCAATGCAGATGTTTTAAGTTAAACAGAATTCCAAAGGATCTAGGAAGGTTTTCAAAGCTACTAATAAGACATCCATTTTAAGCTTCAGCTTTTCAAAATAATAGAAAAAGAAACACAAAAAGAAATAAAACGTACAACATTAAGTACTATAACTTAATAAACCTTTAATAATTACATAACATGCTGAATTTATTATGAATAATAAAAATAAAATAATGAATTAATAATAAAATAATTGGCATTTTTAATCTACATAGCTTTGCCACTTTGATTTCCCTGCTTTGCTAAAAACTTAAGAATGTTACCATCACAAAAAGGAAAACAATACTATTACTCACCACCAACCAGAATCGTTGCACCATCAGGGATGTCTTTTACAGCTTCCACTGGATCTGTATAAAATTTGGTATGGCGATGTGTACTGGTTGAAAAGTAGCCAACACATCCCTAAAATATTTTTAAAGATTTTTAAGTGAATAATCATTTAGACATATCTTTGCATATACATTCACTTTTTATATATGCAATGATAATTTCACTATCTGCTCTTTGAAAGAAAGAGTGGGGCTGCAAATAATTCACTGTAAGAGTAGAAAGGACATACCCTATCCACACACTATCAACGGACTTCCCTTGTGATCATGATGGATGCATTCCATTATATAAAGGAAAATTCTGTGTCATTTGTGGCCACCCAAAACACTGAAAGTTGATAGCCCATACACTGGGACTCAGATTCATAATAATGATGTCATCAAGCATCAGTTTCTGATAGGAGCTAACCTTCCATTCGGTCAACAAATATTCATTGAGAGCTTACTATGTGCCAACTACTATGGTGCTTACTTCCATCCAGTAAATGCTAAGACATGACTGCTGCCCTGGAGATCAGGTATGGTATAACCCATATACAAACACGTAGTAGGGCCCTGACCCAGTCTTAGGTCAGCGAATGCCTCCTAAGAGGACAAGTAATGACCAGCACACAAAAAGATCCATCCCCCTATGGTGCTTGGAGTTTATAGATGCTGCAAAAAATATGAGACTATGACCTATGAGGGAGGCGTACCTAGTCTTACCACAGTGATCTATTCGGTGCAAAACGGGTTATCTAGTGAATATTCACAATCAGTTTCAAACGGTTTCTCTCTTTATGCTTCATACACAGTATGGACGGAGAAAAATCAGAGTTCACTGTGTTGTAATCGTTCATAATCAATGTCACTTATCCTTTATTTCTTATTATACATTCAACCTAAAAAGAGAAGGAGTAAAGAGCATGGCTCTTGACTCCTCATATGCTGCCATGTTAAAAGGTCCATAAGTGTTGTAAACTCACACACACTGCCTTACCAGTCTTTGACAGACGACCTATGGGGTCAAGGTAATGGCATTAGTAAGTTTCTAGCATTCTTTTCTTCCTCTATAAACTTCTTTCATAAAACGTGTCAATTACTACAAAAGCCTATTGCCTTTAAGAGAACTATACTGAAAGCCAAATAAGATCTGCAAAGGTTACACAGATGACTTTTGTCCCTTTAAATTCAACCTTCAGCCAGGTCAGGCAAACACAGGGGGTACGACCTGGCACACCACCCAAATGCCAAAAATAAAAGGAGGCAGAGCTAGAAAGGAAATAGGCTGAGCTGCAGGCAGACAGCTTACTTCTCTGTCCCATCCTCAGCAGCAAGGGTTTATTGGATTCTATTTGAACACCGAATATTTTTTTTAAATCCTGGAAATGAAAAGTTCAATAGCCTCAATAAAGAGGCCAACAGATGAATCACAAAATAAAGTTAAGAATGTCTCCTTGAAAATAGAAAAAAGAAAAAGACACAGGTATTCTAATCCCACCAATTCTATTTACAGGTCAAGTTTCTGAAGCTGAGTAAGATTTTGTAATTGTAATGTACCCAACACTGTGTTACAGCAAGACCAGATCCCAGGTTTTGGCCTTCATCAGAGTCCTTCTACCACAATATGCTCCTTTCCCTGTTTTTTAAAAGCCCTAATCTTGGGGTGCCTGGGTGGCTCAGTCGGTTAAGCGTCCGACTTCAGCTCAAGTCACGATCTCACAGTCCGTGAGTTCGAGCCCCGTGTCGGGCTCTGGGCTGATGGCTCAGAGCCTGGAGTCTGCTTCTGATTCTGTGTCTCCCTCTCTCTCTGCCCCTCCCCCATTCATGCTCTGTCTCTCTCAGTCTCAAAAATAAATAAACATTAAAAAAAAAAAAATAAAAGCCCTAATCTTACTCTATTTCATTATTTAGAGACAACAAATCATTATGAATACCCTATTTTTTCACGAGGAACTCTACTGTCATTATCTTCACTAAACAGTGAAGGACAAGTCAAGTCATTGCTCTGTACACCTTAAACTTAGTGTTGTTTGTCCATTATATCTCAGTAAAATTGGGGAAAAAGTGTAAAAACATGAAATATAGAAATTAATGCTAATCCTATCTCTTACCAAAAAAAAAAAAAAAAAAAAAAAAAAAAAAAAAAAAAAAAAAAGTGGGGGTGCTGGTGAAGAGTCAGGGCCTCAGCAGGAGGAGGAGGAAGAAAATAAAAGAATTCATCTACACCTAAGCAGTCTAGGGGAGAGGTCACCCTGAACTACTTATCTATAGACTAAGAAACATGAATCCTATAGAGAGGAAGTCAAAAGAAAAGTCATTTCTCCTACAGATCCAGGACACTTTTGGGGTTCACAAGGAGAAACAAAAGCATAAACAGACTTGACAGGTCTTCTGTTCCTCTGTTTCAGCTGAAAACTAGTATCTTCATTAGTCAGAAATTATTGAAACACTTGCCCCACACCTTGAAAAAAAATATCTCAGAAGTACTTTAGAAAAGACTCAAGTGTCTCACATTTATCCAGATAATGAAAAGCTAAACACAAATAGATGCTCAATGTTTGCAGGGAATGGGAGAATGGCTCAATATACTTAAGAATTTATGTCCAACTTTGTTTTTTTCATTTTTCACACATTCAGTGAATGTTTGTTGACTTTTGCTATCTGTTACATTGACAGTTGATATCTACTTGCTAAGAAATCAATAGCGTGGCTTAATGGGCCAGACTCCAGTAATCCCGGGGTCAAAAATACCCTTGTTTCAAATTCCAGTTCAACCACAATTGCATGACACTGAGAAAATTGCAAAATCGGGGGGGGGGTGGATTTTAAATTTACAAAAGGATGACAGTTGTTTCTCAAGGATACAGTGAGGATTAAGTAATGGTATAGCAGAAACACTCAGCCCTGGCCTCAGTCCTGGGCTTGGACTACAGAAGATACCCTGGGGATGTTTGCTTCTTTTGGAGAAGATTAACTTGTCATCGATTGGAGTTTAGTTCTCATTTAAAATTTTTTTTTAAGTTTATCTATTTTTGAAAGAGAGATTGGGGCGGGGAGCCGGGGGGACAGAGACAGAGAGGGAAACACAGAATCCGAAGCAGGCTCCAGGCTCTGAGCTGTCAGCACAGAGCCCGACGCAGGGCTCGAACTCATGAACCGTCATGAGATCATGACCTGAGCTGAAGTCAGATGCTTAGCCAGCCGACTGAGCCACCCAGGCACCCCAGTTTTCATTTTTAACCTCCCTGCTGTACCCTACTCATACACACATGTATGTACATATTACTGATTTGACAAAGAATTTTTTTAGCATGACCCATGCTAGAGCAAATTAATCCACACCATTTTTGTTGAGGGTTTGAAAAATGGGTCCTAGCTTTAAGATTACTTGAACACGTTTATTTTATTTGTAGTCAAATTTGCCATTCTAAGTATTCAAAGATTACCAGGCAAGCTAGAAGCATGCATGCAGGTAGGGAGGCAAAGAGGAAGCACGGTGTCTGAAACCAGTTGCACCAGAATGTTTCCTGTGTATCTTTAAGGCTTCAAGCCTTGGCGAGTGGGGGGGGGGGAGCAGCATCCTAGGGAAAGCCTCTGGGTTTGTTTTCTGAACAGGCTTTCTCCCTGCCCACATTCTCTCCCATACCCCCAGCCTTTGGGAGTCAAGAAGCATCACTGCTAACACCCTCTAAGACTAAGCAGGAGAGGTGCCTTTTTTCTTAGGTAACTGAATTCAAAGTGAAGCTCTATGCTGCTCATAAATTGACATGTCTTCTAAAATGCTAGAACAATGAGGTAAAAAGACCCAAGTACCATCTGCTAATAGCCTTCAAATTTGCAGAGGTTACCAAAAGAACAAAAAGCGATGAACTGTTCAGCTTCAACATCTATTTATTCTGAGGATGATTTTTTCACCAAGGTCTTCCTTTATATTCACCTAGTGTCTTTCATTTTGCTTTTCCACTCTCCCACCTTCTGCAAAATTTCACTTTATGTTGCCACTAGTTTCTGCTATTGCTACTGGAGGAAGGAAATAAAAATGACTGTACTGCAAAAGATCAAAGTACTGAAGTGCAAGAAATAGTCAAAATTCTTACACTACAAATTTTTTTCTATTTAATCTATTTGTCTTTTTAAAATCCTCTCCATCATCACTCTTTGTCCTCTGGTTCAAATTCTTGCATTTAGAATCTGAAAGCGGATTTCACAGTTGAGCCTAAATTTCATCTCATGACTTCCCAACTCAGAATCTCCTTCCTTTCTTACCACTTCTACCAATACTTCTTGTGCCTAAATTTCTTTTTTTCTTGTCATTCAATGCTCCAGAACTTCAAAAAAATGCACTTCATTTTGAAGTCCTTTAAGGGAAACTCAACACAGCATATTGCTTTTTTATCTTTAAATTATCTTATCTTAATGATATGGAACTGTACACCCAGGTGATACTGACCTTGTCACCTTACAGTTAAATAAATCAGACACAGGAAGACCGATACTGCCCACTTCAGTATGAAAGTTTGATCCACAGAAGTGGGGAACAGAAGTCATATGGAGAGAGATGAAGAGGACCCTCTTGGGAGGAAAAGACAGTAATACGTGGGTGGCTAAACACACACACTTGGCAAGGAGCATAGAGTACCACGGCCAAGCAGAGGTGATGATGTGTTGAAATGCTTTAATGCGTTTAGTGTGAAATGCTTTGATGATGGTCCATTACGGGACAAGTATCTGTCAAAAGGTAGAATGTTCACCTTAAACTAAACACTACCAGTTACACACTTATAACATGAATAAATAACTTGCAAGGAGCTCACAGGGAATTACTGACACTAGGCAATTCTCTAAAGCAGGAGCGTACTGTTTCTGAGGGAACATACATGTTCTATTCCAATGATGGATTGATGCCCAGCACTTTAAAGGAGCACAGGTGAAGGAGTGATGCATTCTGCCTGGTATATCAGAAAGCACGAGGAGCTTGCCAAGAGGTAAAATACTAATGAGGATGGGGAATCCAGAAAGAGAAGAAGCAGGAGTAAAGGCATGGAGATATAAGGCTCTCACTGTGTTTGCTCAAGGACATGTGGGATCAGGTCCCATGGAGAGAAGCTTGTGAAGATAAGGCTAGAAAAGGAGACTGAGACAGGTTGTGGAAGGCTTTAAGGACCATACTAGAATTTCAACTTCATCCTTCAATGAGGAAGGGACAGCAAAGCTTTTGAAACAGAGATGTCACAACTCCTCTGAAAGCCTGAGACATGAAAGTGGCAGAGGAAATCATTCTTTCATTCACCCATTTGATCAAAAAAATATCCATTTTGCATCAAACATACTAAATACTGGAATACAGGATTAAACAGAAAACTACTCAGGGGGCACCCGGGTGGCTCACTTGGGTAAGCACCTGGCTCTTGGTTTTGGTTCAGGTCATCATCTCATGGTTCATGGGTTTAAGCCCCACATTGGGCTCTGAGATGACAGTATGGAGCCTGCTTGGGACTGTCTCTCTCTCCCTCTCTCTGCCCCTCCCCCATGCTCTTTCTCTCAAAATAAATAAATCTTAAAAAAAAAAAAAAGAAAAAGAAAAATACTCTGGCATAGTCCCTGCGCGGATGAAACTTATAAACTACTCAGGCTAATAGTCATTAAATAATTACAAAAACTTAAATACACCTGTAATATCCGATCAGGGAGCCGTAAGGAATAGATGGTTGCTGGGAAAGAGTACCAAGGACAGACCCACAGAAATTTCAGGAAAGGTACACACATGGCATCGCTTATCAACTGGAGGTGGAGGGAAGAGGGGAGGAAAGAAGGATACCAAGACTTCTGTCTTACACACTGGATAGATACTGGTACGGTTAGCCATAATGAAAACAAAACAAAACAAGGGAGGAAAAAGCCACTTTGTGGCTGGGTCATTTTGGGTCAGAAAGAGCTTGAAGCACTAAGTGACATCCAGGTGGAGTTGACCAGTAAGTTGTACCAGGACTGCAGCTCAGGGGAGAATGGAATTGAAGGAAGATATGGGAAAAAATAAGTTCAAGAAAGAAAGGTAAATAAAGTATTAATGGTAGTTTGAGGACCTTTTTCTAGTTATAATTTTCCCCAGTAAATGGAAAATAGTATTAAATGCTCCCTCTAAAATAGTAATGGAGAAGAAAGATAACTTCAGATAGTCTATTCAAATCTAAATCCATGCCAATGGCTCTGAAATGTAGTCCTCAGACCCAAAGCATCAACATCACCTGGGAACTCATTTATGCAAAGTGTGCTTCAAGCCCCACCCACCCGGCTGGACCCTGCAACCTCTCAGATAAAGCCTCCAGGCAATTCTGAGGCTCACTCAAGTTTGAGAGACTTGCCAAACACACACACAACACACACACCATCTCGTTTGGGCTGTTGGTTATGTTTAGCAAAAAAGTTCTCAAGGTTACTATTTCTGTTTGTCCACAGAGTTCTTTCATCCATATATTAAACATGTATTGAGTGTCTATACTATGCCTGATAGTATGTAATGTTGAAAGGGATGGAGGGTGCCTGTGTGGTCATATCAGGTGAGCGACTGACTTCAACTCAGGTCATGATCTTGCGTTGGTGGGTTCGAGCCCCACATCGGGCCTCCCTGCTGTCATTGCAGAGCTCACTTTGGATCCTCTGTCTCCCTCTTCTGCCCTTCCCTGCTCATGCTCTCTCTTTCTCTCTCTCAAAAATAAATAAACATTTAAAAATGTTTTAAAAAAAGTGTTGGAGAATAAGGTATATGATACTGTTCCTGACAACCAGAAACTTTCGTCTGGTTAAGCAGTCAATGTATACATTTGAAAAGTTAAACAAGCACCCAAGTGTTAAAGTTTAAGGGAAGTTAGAGATGAGAATTCAAGGACTAAATAATCGTAATGCCAACTGCCAAGCCTGAAGAAACACCTGCATGCAGGCACTTGGATCTATGACAATCAAACTGGAAAGGAAGAAACTTTGGACCCTCATATGAATTTTTAATGAGGTACAGCCTCTAATTTTTTTTTTTTTTTTTTAATGTTGGTTTATTTATTTTGAGAGAGAGAGAGCCTGAGCAAGAGCAGGGGGAGAGGCACAGAGAATTCCAAGCAAGCTCTGATTTGTCAGCACGGAGCCCAAGGGAAGGGGAGGGGCAATCCTGATACCATGACACTGAGCTAAAATCAAGAGACCAGAGAGGCACCTGGGTGGCTCAGTTGGTTGAGTGTCTGACTTCTGCTCAGGTCATGATCTCATGGTCCATGAGTTCAAGCCCCACATGGGGCTCTGTGCGGATAGCTCAGAGCCTGGATCCTGCTCTGGATTATGTGTCTCCCTCTCCTCCAACTGCTCATGCTCTGTCTCAAAAATAAATAAACATTAAAATTTAAAACAAAATAAAATCAAGAGACAAGAGTAGGAGGCTTAACTGCCTTAGCCACCCAGGCGCCCCACAAAGCCTCTAATTTGTAACTGCCACCTGAGAAGAGGTTTGCTGGGCTTCAGAAGTGGTTTAACGCTATAACTAAATATGGAAAGTGAGTAAATTACACTTAGGCAAATAAGTAACTGGCTAAAGAGCAAATGTTTTTAACCTCCAGGCAAATGTTTTTAACCTCCAGGCAGGGTATCACAGTGTCCTGGCATGCATTAGTTTCAAAAGCACCTGCAGCAATGTGACTGAAGGTTACTCAAGTGCCCTTCTAATAATGCTTTATAAACCCAAAGCTACCTGCAATTACCAAAACCTTCCTTTCCTAAGAGGCATTTATGAGTAAAATGTTCCAGTTCTACATCACCCCCTAGCATTTACCTAAGAGGCTTAGTGGCCCCTGAGTTCACTGTTGTCAAGAGACTGGATTCGGGAAACAGTAATGGGGCGGGACAGTCTGTGAGTACACCGTGTGCAAGGTATGTTTTTCAAGTACAAAACTATCATTTAATACGCTACTAAGTTAAAAAGGTCCCTTTTCCTTGTTGTTCTCTTGCAAGGAAGAGGTTCCGCGGTTACGATGGTAGCGGAGATGCGCTACACTCCACTCACTTCTGGGCCAGTACTGGCCTCAGGGAACTCGGAACACGAATTCCACCTGAGCTTGGGCTACATTTAGGGACAGAGCAAGGCAAAAAAAAA